CATTCTTCTGTGACAACGCTTTTTCCTGAAACGCGTGAAGGACAGCATAATAAAAGCACAGACACATGTTCAGCGTGCCTTTCTTTCGGCATACAGAAGGGAAGCAAAAGGAAGCTAACTCGCTGAGCATTTAATTCGGTAAGGCTAAAAGCGGAAAACTGGCACGCGCCACCTACTTTTTTTAGATCGCGTGCTGCTGCTGCGATAACGTTGCCGAACGCAATATTCCCGAGGCGTGACGCAACCTCTTTCGGATCCGTGCAATCCATGTTGCCTAAACAACTTACGGTAGCTGCTTCAGGCTTCCTGTGCACAGTATAAGATCCAATTACAAACGAACGACGCTGTAACGCTCGGTTACGGTACTAAAATGCTCTGCTCTTCGTGAAGGGTAGGTACGCCGAACAAGGTTAGCCTTGAAAGTGACAGATAGCCTTCCATCCCAAGCACACAGCAACTTCAAGGTTGCTCGGATCTAACGTGGGGTGGAATTCCGATGGAAGCTTGGAGCGATTTGGGAAACACCTTCTGACACAAGCCTAACTAGCCATACGCAACGTGCCACTTGTCGGTTCGACATTAATCAGCACGCATAATCTGAAACGAATACCCGTTTGTGGTTGGAGAACTCAGCAATGTTTACATAAGGTGGGCGAACTCCTCAATGTTATGGCAGACCACTAAACCCTTTTAAGCTATAACGTAGTGTCTAGGAAGATTGTCTAATAATGCTCTATGAGATGCTTTGCCCTGTACATCGATCAAGTTTAGTTCTGTAATGGTTTTAGTTTGGATAAAAATATATGTCCAGAGGATGGCATCCATTCTCCTATTTGACTCGTGTCCTTATCATACAATCCCCTCTATAACAATTATGAGATACAAGCTCGTTACTGGCTGGTACACTTACTGATACAACCACTATAGTGACTGTACAATCTTAACCCAAGAAACTTGTTACGACCCAACAACGAAGGACGCCTTAATCCCGTCGCTACAATCGTTGTTGGCTTTGCTGCTGAAGTAGATGGTGTTGCCGTAGTCCTTGGGCACCACCTTGTAGATGTAGTTTCCGTAGTTGCGGGTGCGTGCGAGCTGCTTGGCATTCAAAAACGTGCATGCGGTGTAATCCGCCGCGTCAACCTTGTGCACCGAGTGTACCTCGCCCGCCCACTGGAACACTGCGGGCAGGGAGGCGGGAGGGATGCATTGACAGACATGGGAGTGGGAGTTGTTATGAAATATACACACCTCAAGTAAACTGCTGTACATTGTCCCTAGTGCAACTCACCCCACCCACTGGGACCGCATGCAGGGGGGTGGGAGGTGAAAGGGATAAGGGCAAATGAGAGCTGATTATTTTAGGTATCCACACCTCTTTGGTCCACAGGTGAACTGCATTCTGCAAAATAAAATTAATAGGAAGTGGAGAGGTGTACATGGGGAATAAAATATAAATTCTGATTACGTATGCACTGTATTCTGCATCTGTGGTACGGAAAAATACAGGAAGGCATACAACAGGCGGAGGGAAAGAAGTCTTATTATCTAAGCAGCTGAATGTGTTACCAACACTGTGTGTAAAATGCAGCATCTGTGCTGCACCTGGGTTATCAATACAGTCCGTGGTTCCAGAACAGCCCTTGGTTACTAGAACAGCCCTAGGTTACCACAACAGGTTCGCACCTCAACCACCTGTGTGTTCTAGTGTGATGTGAATCACGGCAGTAGCACAGTCGAGTAGAACTAGCTCGTGAGCACATACCAGGTCACTGTGCGAAAATCTGAGTCGACTCAAAAGGTGATTTCTGTTTTGAGTCGACTTTTGAGTCAACTCAAAAGGTGGCGTTTTTTCACTCGCAAACACCCACCAGGTCATTGAGTGGACGTTCTGTGCTTACAAATCTTGCAATCGAGTACCCTTGCTGCTGTTACCGCCTCCCACCCACTTGCAAACCGCCACTGTCAAGTGCTGCACTTGGGTGGCAGCAGCAGCAGCACACCCAACACGCACAGGTGCGTATCTGGCATGTCGTCAGGAAGCACCACGTACCTAGCAGGTCGCCTGGCAACACCTTGGGCGCCTTCCAGTCCTTCATTCCAAAGCCCCACGGAGACAACCACCTGCCGTTGTTGCCCCCAACATACACCACTTTCTGCATGCGGGGAGGGTACAGGGGAGAAAGCGGGGGAAATTCTTGAGTCAACTAAAAGATAGCCCCACGGAGAAAACCACCTTCCGTCGTTGCATCCCACATACACCACATTCTTCTCGCGGGGAGGGCGGGAGGGAGTGAGGGGCGGGAGGGAGAGACGAAGGAGGGCGGGAGAGGGGGAAGGAGGGACGGATGGGAAGGGAGGAAGAAAGGGAGGGAGGGAGGGAGGGAGGGAGGGAGGGAGGGAGGGAGGGAGGGAGGGAGGGAGGGAGGGAGGGAGGGAGGGAGGGAGGGAGGGAGGGAGGGAGGGAGGGAGGGAGGGAAGAAAAGGGGTGTGTGTGAGGGAGAGAAAGGAAGCAGAACGAGCATGTCTCACTTATGAGATGAAGGGGAGGAGGGGAAGGGTGAGGGAGATGGGGAGATGGGGGTGGGGAGGGAAGGAAGTGCTTCTACGAAATTTGCGAAAGTGCCTCCACGGAATTTGCGAATGTGCTTCCTCGCACTTCGCGAATGTGTCACGCAGTCCTACCTGCGCCTCGGCGCCGCCTGAGAAGGAGCGAGCGGCGAATGGCGGTGACCGTTGAACATCGTCAGCGGAGAGCACGCGCGCAGGGCAGACATCCGCGGGCATGCGGCGAACCGAAGTCGGAGATTGCGGAAAGGGGGAGGGGGAGGGCGTAAAAAAGAGGAGGGGAGGGGGGGAGGAGGAAGAGGGTCGCGGGTGAGAAAAGAGGAAGATATGGGCGCGAGCACGAGCACGGGGCGAACTGAGAAACGTGTGGAAAGGGACGATCTGGGCGCGGCGAGCTGGATTCTGAGAATTCATCTTTTGAGGAGCCTCAAAACGATTTTGAGAATTCTCAGAATCCGGCGAAGAGGAACACGGTATCATGGGCGCGAGGCGAACCCAGAAACGTGAAGAAATGGGACGATTTCGGGGAGGGCGAAGGAGCCTTGCGAGTACATGCGACGCGCGATAGACGTTCACCGTAGTACTGTGTGTGGAGGAATGTGGAGAGAACGCGGAGCAGGCGCAAGCAATGGCACATGCCTCGTTTGAGCGCGGTAGGGCTGAGTATAAAAGCGTGAGGCGGAAGCGTGAGAAGGAGTAGGACGCGGTGGCGCCTCGCGAGGGAGAGAACATCAAAAGTTAGAGCAGCGCGGGCGGTCCGATCGCACGAATGAGTGGAGGCACGTACCGACGAGGAGGACGAGTGCGGCAAGGAGGAGCCGCAGATTATTGGTTGCGCGCACCATGATTAGGAACGCTGGGAAGGACTGGTACTGGGCCGAAAGGGGACTCGTTCAGGCGGATAGGGAAGCCTTCGGAGCGAAAATATATATTAAATTGCAGTGCTACTTCGTGAGCAGGAGCAGAACGGGGAATATAGCAGGCTCTGTTGAGAAAAGGGGCCACAAAATATGTACAATTGGGTTGTGAGATAAGATGTTCGAGAGGAGATGCATGTTCCTTGAGGGGAGAAGGTTGGATCGTTGGAGTTTGGTCGGTGGAAGTAAAAGAGGGGGAGAACATGGGGTTGATATGATTCGGGATTCGTAAACGTTCGGTTCATTGCGGTTCAGAGGAATGAGGTGTGCAATAGATGCGCCGCTGCTGCTTCCATGATTTCACCGAGTTGTTGGGTCCTCCATACCGCGCTCAGAAGCTTGTAAACCTGAATGAACCGCACTGGACACGAGCGATCTCTGAGCCTCTTGGGAGTCGCCTTTTGTTGGTGCGGAACACAAATGTGGATGAACGAGCTCCACGAGAATGTAGGGCAGACACTGACCTTTGTGGTTGGCCGAAACCAGTTCTTCCGCTGTAAACCAAAACGCCGATTCGCCCGTCATGGCGGCAGTGGTTGCCCGAAATTTTACAGATACATTGCCTGTCTGTTCACGCATCTCCCCAAGTGTTTGGGGTGGAAAGTTCTGCGCCGCCAGAAAATGTCACATGGGGACAAGACCTGTGAGCATGGCCTTGGTGAGCGCCCTAACATTGACTCGGTACTGTAGTAACATAACTTGTAGCCAAACCTAACACTACACCAGCGGGAACTATCATTACCCTTACATTCTCTAATTCTGATGTATACAATGTAAGGAAATTATGCTTTCCTTTCATCGCACCTGGCTCCAATCCAACCAATGCGTACAGTTACGTTTTCAGCTGGTGTGAGGTTTGCGGTTTACAGAGTTGTACATACAGCCTTGTCATCTCAGCTTGCCTTACCGTACATTACGCATGGGTGCTGTGCATTCTGGTCAATGTATTTGATGGAGCAACGAATTGCATTTTTAGGATACCGTTGGAAAGAACGTCCTACCAAAGGGAGTGGAACACATACCAAGGCAGACAGTGGAACATAGCCTTCCTGTCAGAGGCATTCCAAAGCACAGTAATATTCAAATCAACATGAGGAAAGGGGGCAGAGAAACACCACAAATGGAATCCCCTGATTCGGCTTGCAGATTGTTCTGCCTGCCCGGTCAGAGTTGTCCGAAAGAAGAGTGGGTCCTCCTGACTCGTGTGGTGGTGTCCCTTCCCCAAATCAAACCAAATCAAACAGAATCAAGCCATGCGCTCACACATATCGTGCAGTTTCCCAACAACCATGCTAGACAGTCACAAAGCCAACCACTACAGTACGTGTGCACACTCTCTTATCGAAACCCAAAGTTCTTACGACCCGACAACAAACGCCACCTTGATCCCGAGGCTGCAGTCCTTTCTGGCTTTGCTGCTGAAGTAGATGGTTTTGCCGTAGTCCTTCCAGGTCACCTTGTACTCTCTTATTGTAACCCAACCGTGTTCTCTTACGTCGAGACAACGAACGCCACCTTGATCCCGAGGCTGCAGTCCTTGTTGGCTTTGCTGCTGAAGTAGAGGGTCTTGCCGAACTCCCTCCAGTTCACCTTGTACCAGTAGCTCCCGTAGTTGCGGTTGCGAGCGAGCTGCTTCGCCTTCACAAACGTGCATGCAGCGTACTCAGCCGCGCTCACCTTGTGCACCGAGTGCACCTCGCCCGACCACTGGAACACTGCGCGCAGGGGGGTAGGAGGGCAAGGAGGCATCAAGAGAGGGGAGGGGGGGGAGTTGACAAACGTGCATGCGGCATACTCAGCCGCGCTGACCTTGTGCACCGAGTGCACCTTGCCCGACCACTGGAGCACTGCAGACAGGGGGGCAGGGGGGCAGTGGGGCAGGGAGGGAGGGAGGGGGGGAAAGGAGTTGACAAACGTGCATGCAGCATACTCAGCCGCGTTGACCTTGTGCACCTCGCCCTACCACTGGAACACTGCAGGCAGAGGGGTAGGAGGGCAAGGAGGCATCGAGAGAGGGGAGGGGAGGGAGTTGTGAAACGTGCATGCGGTGTAGTCCGCCGCATCGCATCAACCTTGTGCACTAAATGTACCTCGCCCGACCACTGGAACACTGCGGGCAGGGCATGGGGGCAGGGAGGCATCGAGGAACAGGGGGATGGGGGGAAAGGGCAAGGGATGGAGTTGAGAAACGTGCATGCAGCGTAGTCCGCTGCAGCAACCTTGTGCACCGAGTTCGGCCAACCACTGGAACACTGCATGACACAGGGGGCAGGGAGTTACATGTATTACACACCCTTCTCAAGTGAAGTGTGATACTTTGTGCACCATATGGACCTCTCCCGACCACTGGAACACTGCAGGCAGGAAGACAGGGAGGGAGGCAGTGAGGGAGCCACCCACACACTCGCGCAGCACATCACATCAGCACACGCACATCAGGACACGGGTGTACCCAGGCTGTCGCCAGGCAGCAACTTGGGTGCCTTCCAGTCCTTCATCGCGAAACGGCACGGGGACAGCCACCCACATACACACAGACACACTCGCACATCATTCGTAAACCACACAACACACATCACACTCACACACAGACACACCCGCAGGAGCATGCGTACCTAGGCTGTCGCCAGGCAGCACCTTGGGCGCCTTCCAGTCCTTCATTGCGAAGCCCCATGGGGACACCAACCGGTCGGAGCTGCCTCCCACGTACACGATTTTCTGCACGCGGAGAGAGGGGGCAAAGGGGGTGGGGAGAAGGGGGAAAAATATTGAGTCCACGGGGAGAGGGGGCGGGGGGGTTGAGAGTGAGACGGGCGGGAGAGAGGCGGGAGGGAGAGAGGCGGGAGGGAGAGAGGCGGGAGGGAGAGGGGCGGGAGGGAGAGAGGCGGGTGGGAGAGTGACGGGAGGGAGAGAGGCGAGAAGGAGAGAGGCGGGGGAGAGAGAGAGAGAGAGAGAGAGAGAGTAGGGAGGGGGTGAGGTGAGGAGGGAGGGAGGGATAGCAAGGGAAGGAAGGACGGGGGCAAAGGGATGCAGGGATGAAAGGAGGAAGAGAACATTGAGGAGGCTGCGCGCCGAAGGGCAAGAATGACGAAAGTCGTCGCCGAAGAGCGGCAAATGACGTCGAAAGTCGTCGCCGAAAAGCACGCGTGAGCGACGGTATGCGGCGGGGGAAGTCGGGGATTGCGGAAAGAGGGAGGGGGAGGACATCGAGGGACGGAGGGGAGAGGGGGAAAAGGGGGGGTGGGGGAGGGAGAGGGGGGGAGAAGGGGAGGGGGTGGGGGGGGGGGAGAGGAAAAGGAGGGGGCGGTGGGTCGCGGGGGTGCAAAGATATGGGCGTGAGGCGAATTGAGGAACGACAGGCGAATGGGGCGGAGTTTGAAAGCGTGAGGAGGAGTATGACACGGTGGCGCCTCGCGAGGGAGAGCACGCCGATAATAGAAGAACGCGGTCAGCCTCGAGTTGCACAAAGGAGAGGGGGCACGTATAATGTGTCCGCGCTCCGCTCATTGCTCCGCGCTCCCCTCATTTGCGCAACCTCGATTACGGCGGAACAGCGAACTCGTTTGCGCATGCTCGATAACAGAACAGCAAACTATTTTGCGCAACCTCGATAGTGGAACAGTGCGGGCAGCGTGGAGGTACGTACCGACGAGGAGGACGAGGGCGGCAAGGAGGAGGAGGAGCCGCGGAGGAACTAGCCGCGTGAAATGAGTGAGACTCACTCATTTCACGCGGCTATGCAGTGTGGAGGTACGTACCGACGAGGAGGACGAGAGCGGCAAGGAGGAGGAGGTGGAGCCGCAGAGGAACTAGGCGCGACATGATGACGAAGGTTGGATGGGTTAGTACTGACGGGTTCGGAACGGGACTTTGTTCGGGCGGATAATGAAGGTGTGGCTGAGAGGGAAATGGTTAAACTTAGTGCGGCTTTCTTGAGCAGTGGCAGAACCAGGATTAGGCGAAGTCTGTTGGTAAATGGCGCCAAGAATAAGAAATATTCTGGGGAGGTGAGACAGCATTGTGTGTGGTAGGAGTTTGGTTAGTGAGCTGGAACGAGGGAGAACATGGGGCTGGGATTCATTGAGTTTAGGTACGTAGAGAGAGCGAAATAAGAGGGCTACAAATGCAAAATAAGACAAACATACGTTCTCACTGACTACAGTGGATGCCCAGAAAATATATCGAGCAGTGGGTTTGCTTGCGCCCCTCGCCCACCACATGTTTCAGAGTTGAAGGCCCAGCGCCGCCAAAGTAAGCCCCCCAACATTGTATCCGCAATTAACATAAGCACGGAACCATCAGTACACCAGAAGAAAACAACATTTACCACTGTTGTGCTGTTGTTACGGGTGCAAAAAAACTCTAGGTAGCGAGGATTCAATGAGTACAAAATATGAACGAAGCCATGAGCTAATACTTGTACGCAAAAATGTGCAAACGGTAACGCGGTGCGTGCGAGCTAGCTAGTGCTACGCTGGCGTGAAGTTCGGGCTAGTCCCGAAGCGTAGGCCGACTCGGCTGCTCCAGCAGTGCAATGTTTGGTGAAACAGTGCGCGCGAAGTTGGCGAAGCCCCGTTAGCAGTAACGGGCGTGTTGGAAGCATTTAGTTTACGCTTCTGAAGTATCGAGCACTATAACAAAAGAGAAGCATACTCACAGCGAAGCAACACCGAGTCAACCAAAGCGGTTGACAAGGCGACAACAGCAGGAGGTTGAAGCGAAGGTCAAAGGTCAGCGACCTTTGACTTGACAAAGGCAGCGCGGCAGCAAGGACAAACAACTGACTCGCTATTGAGGAGTTACCCGAGTCGTCGCTGCATCGAATCGCAACAGCAATTATTGTTAAACCTTTCGTATTCCTTGTAATCATATAAAACCTTGTATCTCTTTGCTATAATCAACACATCTTGTTCTCATATACTAGTGCAAGGTGGTTCAATTAATCCACTATTACGCTTCCGCTAAATATATCACCACTCTGAGGGTTTAGTCTTGAAACGACCCTAAGGACTTCTTCAGCCCAACATGGTATGAGAGCCTACAAGACAAAACTCAACCTTGTTCAACTTCCTGCAACATCAAAAGACATGGCAACATAGAAGGAAAGAAGCTCGTCTACTGGATCTCCTGGTACTACTCCTACTCCACCGCCAGCCTCTAGACTGCAAACAGAATGAGGCACAACTCAAAGACCAGCTGGTGAATCAACTGAGACTCCTGCGAACCAAGCAACCGGCATCGACTCAAGCATGATGGAGAAATTCTTCTCCTTCATGTCGTTCTACGAGCAACATCAACAAGCGGCACCTGCGCAGTCAACCAACAGCGACAACAACAACGGAGTCACTCCCATGAGTCTCGACGGCTCATCTTTTGCGCGCGGAAATCAACAGCCTACCTTCGCACCGTATGTACCTCAACGCGACTCCGTCAGCTTCATGCCGAATCGGCTACCACATGGACAAGAGACAAAGACACTGGATGCACTTCAGTTGCAATAACAATTCGCACACGTGCTGAAACTGCAAACATCAACACCGTTTGACGGAAAGGACTTCTATACCTGGTCCTTCGAACTCGAACTGATGATAGAAGGCGCTCAAATTCTTGGTTTCTTCGACGGCTCCCTGCCATATCCAATGCACGGGACAGAGTACGACAAGCAGCAGTACACGTATCAGTCACTGATGGCGTACACCATACTTCTGCAAAACATAATGGCAAACGAGCTGCAGAACATCCGATCTTATCGCGGATACGGAAACTCCGCCGAGCTCGCGTACAACCACATGAAGAACATGTATCAAGCAACCGACAGCGTTAATAAAAGTCGTCTCATGGCGCAATTAACAACAGTCCAAATGCAACCCGGCGAGAAGGGAATGGCATATATCAGTCGCTGTCACGGCCTGCGCGATAGACTCCTTCGATGCGGTGGATCAATATCCGAAGAAGCGTTCGTCACTGTCGTCATCACAGGTCTCGGTCCTCAGTGGCGCTCCACTTGAGCCATTCTCCAAGCACACGGAAAAATCTCCGAAGCAAATATTTGCATCGAAATTCATGCCGAACAACAAGACATGGACCTGCATGAAGAACGACAAAAGAAAAGAGGATCAGCACTGGAATTCGCCTTTCACACTCAGCGGGGCAACAACAACAACCGACAACAAGAGCACCAAGCATGAAGATACATACCACCGTTCTGCCATCTCTGCCGAACGTCAGGACACTCTTGCATTCATTGCCCAAATCAACAGCAATCGTTACCATCACCAAGTCAGCTTTGACCTTCAAGTAGTCAAGTGACTTCCACACAGCAGCATCCTTCGATTCAGGCGCCGTCTTCAACGACAACGTCACAACCTCCACAAGGAACAAGAAACATCATAAGCTGTATGACAAGAACGGACTCCTGCATCACCGGTTCACCACCGACCTACTCACTAGAAGAATTGCTCCACGAAAGCACACCTCGTCGGGAATCACTTCAACCAAACCCGACATACGCAGCTATCGCACAGAGCGAACCATCCGGTCAAGATACTTGGTTCTTGGACAGCTGCTGCGGACAACACATGTGCTCGTCAAATTGCTTTGTTCAACGGGAACAACACCTAAACCGGGAAGTCATGATCACCATCGCCAACAACCAGAACATGTACATACGACGACAAGGAGTAGTTCAACTTCAGTCCCGTGAAACTAACGTCGTTTTGCAGATGTCGAAGGTTTTGATTGCAGAAGGACTGTGCTACAATTTGCTAAGCGTCAGCCAGCTCATGGCAAAAGGGATTCATCTTGAAGCCGACAGCACTACTCAAGAATTCAAGCTGTACAACGTGAGGGGCAGACTTAACATCGGGAAAGCAGTCCTGAAGAACAACGTCTTCTTTCTTGACTTCGTCCCAGATCAAGGAACTGCTGACATCGACATGATCGTCAACTTACCAGACATGACATGACTTCACCACTTGGTCGCACCCACCAGATCTCGACTCATACTTCAGCCCCGGAGGCTTCTGGTACTCACACACTAGAGACAACAGACAACAGCAGCAGCAACAACAACGACAACAGCAGTAGAGACAACAGCAGCAGCAGCAGCAACATCGACAGAAGCAGCAACAACAACGACAACAGCAGTAGAGACAACAGCAGCAGCAGCAGCAACATCGACAGAAGCAGCAACAACAACACCAACACCAATTGCCAATTCTTCATCAACACCGTCACCCGCTCAACAGCTGACTCCTGCTCCACGAGACATCCACAGAAGTGCTACCGTCACTGCACGTTTCTACTCCAACTCCGGCCTGTATAGACGTTCACCTGGACATCGCGCCGACGAATCATTATGGCATCAAAGGCTAGGAAATCCCAGCAACACGACACTGAACAACACGATAAAAGCACGAGTTCTTGACAAAGATTAATACTCTTACCCGACGGAAGAGAACTTCAACGAGTCCGCGGAACCTGCTTTACCTGTCCTGAAGCCGACTTACCTCATCAGCCGTTCGTATCTCACCACAACCCGAGCACGCCAGCATATGCACCACTGGAGAAGGTCTACAGTGACATACTGTACACCCGCGAAAGCGGACAGGGAGCATACAACTACGTGATCACATTCATCGACGCCGCCACCAGATACGTCTGGCACCTCAATCTTCTGAGTCGCGACATGGCCTTTGAAGCCTTCATTGCTTGGCTCCCAGTAGCAGAAAGAGAATCAGGAGTGAAGCTGAAAAGTTTCCAGTCAGACGGGGGAGGAGAATATCAATCACAGCGCTTCAAGCAATACTTGGCGGAGAGAGGCATCAAGAGACTCATCTCTCTTCCCTACGCTCATCAACAGCAAGGCGTGGTAGAACGGATGAACAGAACCCTCCAGAACACCATGCACAAGCTGCTACGTGGCATGCGACTACCCAATCATCAATGGCCTGAGGGGATGGACCACGCTGTGCCATTACACAACTTGCTTTCGTCATCCTCGCTTCCGAACAACGCATCACCGCATCTGCTGTGGACAGGAAAATTGGGCAACACAAAAATGTTACGAGTTTTTGGCTGCATGGTACAGTACCGACCCCACACTACACGAGCCGGACGATTCTCACAACGCGCACAGTGGGGGTTACACCTGGGCATCGAAAAACATTACAACGCGTGGAAGATTTTCGACGTCCACTCGAAGGAAATAGTAGCAGCGCGTGACGTGATTTTCTACAAACGAATCACTCTCCAAACGTACCTGGACAACTTGGCAGCAGAACGAGACCTCACGGGCAGCTTCCGTGGCAACCGAGCCTTCGCCACACTAGCAGATGAGGCTGGCTGGGATGAAAAAAACGTGGACGGAGCATCGGAGGAAGCCGGACCTCTTCCTTACTATTTGGTACCCATTCCGATGGACGACGAAAACCCTCGCAAAAGCGTCAACGCCGAATTCTACTACGACTTCGCCGACAATGGTTACGTTGCACCCCAACTGGTTACCA